TGGGTGGGCACTTAAGCCTCAGAGCCAGATGCATTATGTTTTGAATTAGGAGGGACCTTAACAGACCTTAGCTCCAAGCTCAGGCCTGTGCCACTGCCACAGTCAGTGTTTTCCTTTCCAACAGCACTGCTGCCACCGCCGCTTCTGCCCACCACTCAGGCAAAGCACCCACTGCTAAAATGCTGCTGAAATTCCCCCTGGCTCTGTGGGCTGGATACAGTGTACGTAGATTGCTGCCCCCTGCTCCAAGCTGTTATAATAAGCTGGCTGTCACCAGCCCTTCTACTGACTGTGTTTTAAGAGCAAGCCAGTCGCTTTTCTCCAAAGGAACAATTAGGGTGTCTAAGTCCAGGAGGTGGTTTCAAGCTCTGAATCTCAGCCTCATATAGGGGGTTAATATTGCCCTTCACATTAGAGGCTGAAGTCAGAAAGAGGCTCCTTTCATCAGCATTTTTGTTGCCTGCATTAGGTACTCCCTTCTTGGTGTGTTGGCTATTGTGGATCCTGTTCTTCCTTGGTACTGCATAAGAAACTTGGATGCCTAAGTTGGTTGAGAACTAGGGCTGCCTGTATACGTGTGTGTGGGGAGGGAGGGATGTAGGGTGTTTTATTTAAAGCAGTTCCTGGAGAGCCATTGTAATTAAAATGCTGCAGCGTCACGTGTATTAAACCCCCACACATTTAACCATGGTTGCGGGACTCTTTAACTAAAGCTTATTCAACAAGGTTTAGTTAAAGCGCCCCAGTGACCATTTTTAAAGCTGTGGGGACTTGTACACATGATGCTGGAGTGTTCTAATTAGAATGCGGAACAGAATCATTCTAATTAGGATGTGTCAGAGCAAGTATATAGGTACCCTAGGTCCCAGAAGCCAAGATTCTTGACTAGAGACTGTAGGGCTAATGGACACCGTAAGGCAGGGGTAGGCAACATTTTTTGGCCGGAGTGCCAAAAAAACCACAATGTCTACCTTGGAAGGTGCCGGAGTGCCGACATGCCGGAGCCCAGAGCAGCTGTTTGCGCATGCCGGAGCCCGGAGCAGCTGTTGGCGGCCTCCGGGCTGCAGCTGGCCCACGGAGCCCGGCAGCAAGGCTTGCAGCCTCCCAGCCACCTGCTGGCAGCAGCCTGGGCTCTGGCTGGCAGCAGCTGCTTAGAGCCTGGGCTGGCAGAGATGTGCCAAGCAAAATGGCCTTGTGTGCCATGCTCGGCAGGTGTGGCAGAGGTTGCTGACCCCTGCTGCAAGGTGTAGGGTTGCAATGAAGGAGCCTTTCTGTTTTTGGTTTTAAGTTGAATGCTTGGGGAAAACTGATGGGAGAGCTTCTGATTCTCACTTCATATGTGGGAGAAATGGAGCATAGTAATTCACAGCTATGCTATAAGGGTACATTTATAGAAATGTATAAAGTGTGTTGAACTTCAGAGTGATGAGAGGGGGAAAAAAGTATTGGTAATACATCAGTGTATATACACCAAGGGCCAGATTGTTTCTTATGAAATATACTTTCCTCATGGCAGGCTTTGGTAATCTTGCAACCATTTCAATCTTGCTGACTGCAGTGGTTAGGACTGAGCATTATTACAGACATCATAACCCAATTAATCTCTGCAGTTAGGTTACAACTGCATTTTTATATCTCTGACCACATTTCCAAATCCTGTGTACCCTGGATGTTCCTGGCTGAGCTACAAAGCTAGCTTTGGCATAAATGTCTGCTTCCATTGTGGAGTATAAGAACTTGGATGAAAGGTAGCTGTGATTGTCTCATATGTTTTATTTACCTTGTGTGACAAGTATAAAGGATAGTAAATTTTAGGGGAGTTTCCATTCACTGTTTTCATTTTTTTTATATAAACATTAATGTGTCATTTTAACTGAGTTTCATAGATTTTGGCTACTTTATAACAGTGTTCTCTTAAGGACTTCTTTAAAATATTGAGATGTACAGAAAGCCACCACTCCATCTTAAAGTATTTTTGTTTGGGAATTTAAACTTACAGTTATAATTTTTGGTGGTCCCAGCAAAGAGTCTTGCACTCTTTCACTGTATTCAGTATACTTTAAGGGCAGAGAGAGATTTTATTTCACATTTATTGGACCATAAAAATATCAACTTGAAATTGTACTAGTCTAAAAATATATATATTTAATTTCAAACGTTTTAGTCACTGCGCTTGTTCAGAGCAAACTGAGGGGTGCAGAAGGGATGGCAGATATAACCCCTGAAACTAATTTTTAACCTTAATTTTTTTTTTAAATAATTCCTTTCAAATGGACCATCTATCTGGCAACCAAGTAAGGAAACAAATAACTTTGGTGTGATTGTGTGGGTAAGATCAGAGGAATTCCCTGTGCAGGTTTTAAAATTGTAGATATAGTTCTCAACCTTTTTTAAAATTTATTTTTCACTGCATTGGTTGGAAGACCATCAAAAAGCAATTTTTGTTAGTTTACATGTACACTGTGTTTAGTTCCCCAGTTCTGTTTGCTGTCATTATTAGCAGCCTTACCCTTTCTTTCCCATTTTCCTTTCTCTTTTTCTGTCAGCCCTTATAGTCCCCTTGACCTGAAATATTCCCATACTAGAATTGCATCACAGTGTGCTGTGTTGGCTTTAGAGTGAAATAAACTAATGAAGATAACGAGATCTTATTTAGCTCTAACTGCCTCCACTCATAAAACACTTCAATACAAGTTAATATGTAGATGTTGCTGGCACCAGCAGACTGTTCATCAGCTGTTTGACAGCTGGTCAGTGTTGCAAGCCATCTGAGCTAAATATTTGCAAATCTAATATCCTATCCCTAGTTAGGTCTGTGGCCTGCTTGGAATAATTGTATCATCATAAACTGGGTGATGGGCTGTTTTATGCAGTGAACCCAGTTGCTTTTCTTGTAGCTATTCACTTTCTCTCTTTCTTTTAAGGAAGTCAAGAAATTCTGCCCTCGATCAGTACTTGGACAAATTTGCTGGAGACAAGCTCAGACTTCTTATGAGAAGCCAGGCTTCCTCTTCTCCACGTGACTTCCTGGCTGTTAGGAAAGGAGACTATGCTTTCAGGTAAGTGTTGAATGACTATTTTTGGATCTTGCTGAGAGGGCATCAGCACAGAAGTGTCTAAAATGGTTGGAGCACCCTTTTTGCTGATTTGGGGTGCCTCAAATACAGTTTTCTACTCTCTAGAGAAGCATCCTGTTGTCTGTCTTTTTAATGGTAGTTTCTCTTCCTCTCCAGCCAAGTTATTCTATTCCTCTTCTTGATTTTCTGCACCTCCGGAATGAAACTGGCTGACCTTTGCCCAGTTGTGTTACAGCTCCATATGATCTAAGCAGCAAAGGTTTTTTTGATTGGGTTCTTACCAGTTTCACTCTAGCGGTCAGAAGAAAGTTTCTCACCTGCAAGGTCCAAGAGAATAAGTGCCTTTTTCAAAGCTTGAGTATGCCTTTTCTGGAGTTGGTCTTCAGTGCTATAACTGATAGGTGCCCTCCCTAAGGACATTTCTTTTTATTATAGAAGTGGAGCCTTTGCATTCCATTTGGAATTGAATCACTGAGCTTCAATTCATGGCCCCATGAACATTAACCTTAATTGCTTAGAGACACCATATAAGACACTAAGAGCACTGTACTTAAAAGGATAGGAAAATGAAGTCATTAGTATGCTATGATTTCTGTCCAAGAAATGTATTCGGATTCTACTTAAATAAGAACACCAAACACTCTGTTTCTGACTGTACATCTAGGTTCCCAGTCTGTTATCTTAATATGCATGTGTACACAAGTGAAGTGGCAACAAAGTAGTAGGTATGCAGTAGCATTTCAAAATATTCTCAACAAATTCTAAAAACTTGCACACTGGACCCCAGAAGAAGCTTCAGTTGGTAGTTTTCTATTCTGGAACACACTAATGCAAACTATTCAAGTTGCATACATTATGATAAAAATGCTGATTTTTTTTTCTCGCTGTTTTGCAAAGCTCTCAGACTATTCTCCGAGTATGGCACAATTAAACTACTATATTGGACCAGACAGCATGTTTTCCTTGTCTGCAGTATTTCAGGATTTTTTGCTCCAGCTTCCAGACCAAATGTTTTGAATAAACAATAATGATTTTTGCTTTTCCCCCAGTCTCTTTGCAATGTAACAAGTGCTTTTGTATAAAATAACTTCTGTCTAAAACTTTCATGGCTGTGAGACTAAGTGTTATAAATGATAGTGGAAATGTATGAAAAAACTATGTTCCTAATAAGTTTTAATTGATTGAAATGTGTTTTTCAGGTTTTCTGAGATGGTAATTTGAAGAGCTAGGTTTTCCAATATGAATAAAGTAAAAACAACATCTGAGAAAAGGTAAATAAAATACAATTTACTGAGGTTCAATTTGTTTGTTTTATTATGTAATGAATTTTGAGAACTTTACAATATAAAGGAGCATCATATATTAATTTCATAGATTTCATAGACATCAGGGCTGGAAGGGACCTCGGAAGATCATCGAGCCCAGCCCCCCGCCCAAAGGGCAGGAAGTCAGCTGGGGTCATAGGATCCCAGCAAGATAAGCATCCAGTTTCATCTTGAAGGTGTTCAATGAAGGCGCTTGAACCACCTCCGGTGGCAGGCTGTTCCAGACCTTGGGGGCTCGGACAGTAAAGAAGTTCTTCCTTATGTCCAGCCTGAAACGATCTTGAAGTAGTTTGTGACCATTCGACCTCGTCATCCCTTGGGGCGCTCTGGTGAACAAACGTTCCCCCAGATGCTGGTGGTCACCCCTGATAAACTTGTAGGTGGCCATCAGATCACCCCTGAGCCTGCGCTTTTTCAGGCTAAAGAGCCCCAGGGCTCTCAGCCTGTCATCGTAGGGTCTGCTTCCCTGACCTCTGATCATGCGCGTGGCTCTTCTCTGGACTCTCTCAAGCTTCTCCACATCCTTTTTGAATTGTGGAGCCCAAAACTGGACACAGTACTCCAGCTGTGGCCTCACTAAGGCCGAGTACAGGGGGAGAATGACGTCCCGGGATTTGCTTGAGAAGCATCTATGGATGCAAGCCAGCGTTTTGGTCGCTTTACTAGCCGCCGCATCGCATTGCAGGCTCATGTTCATCTTGTGGTCAATGATGACCCCCAAGTCTCTTTCTTCCATAGTGCTAGCCAGCATAGCACTGCCGAGCCTATAAGGATGCTAATAAAAAAGACAAAAACAATTATATGCATTCACAAGAAAACTGTAGTTATTAACCTTGCAATTGCTGTTGACTTACTATAACCTTTTCATGTAAAACTAGCTTAATTTATTTAAGCAGTATTTTAACAGTACACGATTAATACATTTATTTCCTTAATGTATTAATAGAGGGAAATACCTTCATATGTGCATGTCTTATTATATTTTAATATGATTTCTCAGGAATAAAATATTTTTGTATTACATTTAATTTTGTGAAAGATTAGAAATAAATTACATAATATTAAATGTTTAGAGGTGTATAATTGAAAGCACTTAGAATGTTTGTTTGTGCATGCAGTTATTTTATTACAGCTCTGTATGTACAAATGTAGTGATAGTGATTATACATATACATATAAAAGGGATACTATGCCTGTGCTTCCTCTTTAAAATTTGTGTTGGGTTACAGTCATTCAAAGATCTACCATATTCAGATGTACCATTTAAATATAAGATACCTTTGAATTTAAGATGAAACAATTCTCTGATTTTCACTTTGAGAAAAAATAAAATGTCAACTAAAGATACATTTCTGCATATAAGAGGGGTTTTCATAGATGTTAGGGTTGGAAAGGACCTCGGTAGGTCATCTGGTTTGACCCCCGGCCCTTGGCAGGAAAGAGGGCTGAGGTCAGACGACCCCAGCTAGGTGCTTGTCCAGTCTCCTCTTGAAGACCCCCAAGGTAGGAGAGCGCACCACCTCCCTTGGAAGCCCATTCCAGATTCTGGCAACCCTTACCATGAAGAAGTTCTTTCTAATGTCCAACCTAAGTCTACTCTCCGTCAATTTATGGCCATTATTCCTAGTTACTCCAGGGGGTGCCCTAGTAAATAGAGCATCTCCTATTCCCTGCTGCTCTCACCTGATGAATTTATTGGCAGCCACAAGATCACCTCTCAGCCTTCTCTTACAAAGGTTGAAGAGATCTAGGTCCTTCAGCCTCTCCTTGTAAGGCCATGCCTGCAGGCCTCTGCCCATACGAGTGGCCCTCCTTTGAACCTTCTCAAGATTCTCTGCATCCCTCTTTAAGTACGGTGCCCAAAACTGGACACAGTGCTCCAACTGTGGCCTGACCAGTGCCACAAAGAGAGGAAGCATCACCTTTTTGGACCTGTTTGTCATGCATCTGCTAATGCATGATAGTGCGGTTAGCTTTGTTGATCACTTGGTCACACTGACAACTCATGTTCATCTTGGAGTCAACTGTGACTCCAAGATCGCTTTCCACTGCTGAGAAGGTCATCCCCCAGCCTGTAAGTGTGTTGGTGGCTCTTTTTGCCCAGGTGTAGCACTTTGCACTTGTCTTTGAACTGCATCCTATTTCATTCTGCCCATTTTTCCAACCTGTCCAGATCCGCCTGGATCCATTCCCTATCCTCTGCTGTGTATCTGCGAACTTGGACAAGGTGCTCTCCACGCCCTCGTCCAAGTCACTGATGAAGACATTGACTAGCATCTGTCCAAGGACTGGGCCTTGTGGGACTCCACTGCCCACATCTTTCCAGGTCAATATCAACCCATTCACCACCACTCTCTGGGTGCAACACCTAAGCCAATTTGCCACTCACCTGACTCTGTAATCATCTACATCGCAGCCTGTCAGTTTATTTACGGGAACAGAATGAGATACTGTATTGAACGCCTTCTTAATGTCTAGGTAGATGACATCTACCTCTACTCCTGCGTCTAAGCATTTTGTAACCTGGTCATAAAAAGAAACAAGGTTAGTCAGGCAGGATCTACCTGTAATGAATCTATGCTGCTTTCCTTTCAGCATTATTTCCCCTGCTGGGCTCCCACAGATGTGATCCTTAATGATTTTTTCCAGAGTTTTCCCAAGGATAGAAGTAAGACTAACTGGCTTGTAGTTTTCCGGTTCCTCCGTCCTCCCCTTCTTGAAAATATGGACCACATTGGCCCTTTTCCAGTCCTCTGGGACCTGACCGGAGCGCCGTGAGTGCTCAAGCAGCTGTGCCAGCGGCTCTTCTATGACACTGGCCAATTCCTTCAGCACCGTTGGATGAAGTTCATCTGGGCCCGCTGATTTGAACACATCCAGCCCCTCCAAGTGCTCCTTACTAAATCTGTGCCAACAGTTGGTGAGCTGGTGTCCTCCTGTCTATCTGTGATCCAATTGGGAGATTTGTCTTGGTCTGTCTAGGAATACAGATGCAAAGAACTCATTAAAGAGCTCAGCTTTGTCCTCCCTCTCTCTCACCAATTGCCTAGTCCCATGGTACCTGTACCTTCCTTTTGCTTCCTATATACCTGAAGAAGGACTTCTTGTTGTACTTAATTTTTATCACCAGCCTAAGTTCTAATACTGCGTTGGCCTTCCTAACTGATTGCCTGAAAGTGCGAGCCAGGGAGGTATACTTCTTCTTGGTAGCTACTCCCTGTTTCCACAGCCTGTATACCTCTTTCTTTGCTTTTAGGCTTTCCTGAACTTCCCTGTTCAGCCAATAGGCTTGTTGGCCCCTTTGCCCCCTTTATATGCAATGGGATTGGCTTCTTCTATGCTCGTAGGATCGCTCCCTTGAGGAATGGCCACCCTTTCTGGACCTCCCTTTTGCCAATGCTTTAACACCTCACTTACTAATCTGAGCACACTGCCTTTCTGAAATCTAGCACTTCAGCCCTCCTGGTTAGTTTACCCACCCTTCGCCGGATAGTGAATTAAATCAATCGATGGGCACTATCCCCTAGGTTACCTTGTACCTGCAGATTCCCCACCAGGTCATCCCCTGTAGCTAATACCAAGTCCAGCAAGACGTTTCCCCTAGTGGTATCGTATACCTCCTGCATTAGGTGGAGGTCCTGCATGCAGGTTAAGAACCTACGTGAGCAGTTAGATTGGGCTGACTGCTCCTCCCAGCAGATGTCAGGGTAGTTTAGATCACCTATGACAACCATATCTCTCGATCATACGACCTCTGAGAGTTGCCTGGAGAATTCCAGGTCTAGCTCATCCTCCTGGAGTGGTGGTCTCTAGTAGACCCCCACTACTAAGTCTCTTTCCCCCTGACCCCCTTGTATCCTGACCCACAGTACCTCGGTTTGTCCCTCCTCTGATCCCATCTTGATTATATAGAATGTATATTGTTCCTTAACATACAACAACCCTCCCCCCCCCCCCACACACACACATACACTTTTCTCCCTACTCTGTCCCATCTGTACCACCTTTAACCCTCAGTGCCTACTGCCCAATCGTGAGTAGGGGCCCACCAGGTTTCAGTTAGTCCAACCAGGTCAAAGTTGTTGCTTGCAAACAGGAGTGCTAGTTCTTCCTGCTTGTTCCACATGTTTTTAGCATTAGTGTAGAGACACTTAAGCCCCCTAATGGGTGCCCTTGGTACCCCCCTGTCCTGATGTCTATTGGGCCCCTTAGTACTTACCTGGGCTGATCCAGTGCATTGCTCATGGCTCACTGATCTTAGGTTCTCCTTTATCCTCTGCTTCCCTGTCCCCCGACGAACCTACTTTAAAGCCCTTCGGAGGAGATCAGCCAACCTGTAAGAGAACAGACTCTTACCTTTAGAAGAGAAATGAAGACCATCTGGTCCCAGGATGCCTCTCTCGTGGAAGTGTGGATCGTGGTTGTAGAAGCCAAAACCCACATGATGGCACCAACTCCAAAGCCTCAGGTTGACTTCCCTGATGCAGGTGTCCTGATGCTGACAGTGACCTCTGGATGAGAAGACTGCCTGTGCCCCTGACTTCTAAGCCTGGCCCCCAGAGCCCTGTAGTCACTTATGAAGCAGTCCAGACTACTGGCCGCATCATTCATGCCCACATGGATGAGGACCATGGGATAATAATCAGAGGGCCAGATGAGGTCAGGAATCCTCACAGTGATGTCCCAGATCCTGGCTCCAGGCAGGCAGCAAACCTCATGTGCCTTGGGATCCGGTTGACAGATAGGTCCCTCTGCCTCTCAGGAGGGAGTCGCCCACCACAATGACCAGGCAACTCTTCCTCCAGCTGCTCGGTTGTTGCTCAGCCTGCCTGGTGTTTTTTGCGGACATGTCTTCCCCTGCGGCTTCCTCTGCTGCATCATCCTCCAGTGCTGCCAGGGCTTTGTGTCCGTTCCCCAGTTGTATTGGGGAAGCAGTCACAGCTGCA